GGAAAATATTTTCTGTGGAAAATTTCTTCTATCAATCTTCCAAATAAGTGGAAATTTGAAAATATTTTCCTAGTTGCCTGGAAAATAACGCGTATCAAACACACCCTAATTTTTGCGAGTTCTAGTGGTGGGAAACTTGATACAAATGCTTCTCATTTGGACTCTTCCTTTTCTTTTTTTTTTTTCAAAAAATATTTATTGATTTCTCCTCTTCTTTTATTCAACACGATTTCTTTATATGTGAATAGCCAATCAATTTAAATATTAATTGAATAATTTCAGAAGTAGGGTATTAAAATTTATAACTTAAATGTAATTATTATAAAGTAATATGTAGATAATTGGTTTGACTCTCCAACTACTTTCGATTTTAAAAAGCTAAAATAAACAGGCTCTTAAAACTTATTTTAAGCATTGATTCTTTAAAATGGAGAGCAAGTGTTCTTATATTTTGCGTACTTAGAAAATGACGATATTAAAGTACATATTTGGTATGCAATACGGCAAATAATGCAAAGTGTGACACAGAATTTCTTATTTTGTTTGGTGTTGTTGATGGGCAGTCAAGGCATTGAACCAAGCAAGATTGGAAGCCAATATTAGAGCATATGGGGAGAGAAATTACCAGAACAAATGGCCAAGCCCATATGCACTGCTTTGTGGTGCCCTACTTTTACTGTCATTTCTAAAGTATGTTTACCGGCCCTTGGAATGGTTAGCTCTTGTAGCAGTTGCAGTTGGAATCATACCAATTGGGTTAAGGGCTGTCGCATCAATACGCAATCTCACACTTGACATTAACATCCTCGTTGTCATTGCAGGTACATAATAATATATAGGGAAAATTGCAGTAACGGTCTCTAATCTTTTCAATTTTTACAAACTTTACCCTAACCTTCATTTTGTGTCAACGAAGGTTCCTAACCTTTCACAAATATGCAGCTTGAGTCCAAATGGATGGAAATCCATTTGACCGTTAGTTGACCAAAAAATTCAAAATTTGATTAATTTTGACCTAATTGAAAGGGGCAAAATGGTAAATTTAAAATTGTCAAAATAAATAAATAAAATAAAAACCAAAGGAAAAAAATGGTGTCTTCTTCACCCCAGCCCACCCTCTACAGCTGAAAATCAGCCTCGAACACTGGTCAACACTACCGCTAGTTATATTATTCCCCAACAACCATTCACGCCCATCCCTAAACTCCACCCAAAACCAAACCGTCGCCACCAAATCCACAGCCACCACCACCTTCGCTACCATCTTCTCCACTATCAAATGAAACCCAAATAAAAAATCAAAATCAACAGATCTACAGAAATCAGACTCCTCGTCGCTAGCACCATCGCCCAAATCGTCAGATCTGCACATCACACGAAAGCCATTATTTTTTCCTAACTACTTTTAACTAATTGAAAATATAAAAAGATTGCAAATAACGGATAATTGAAAAAACAAATATGTAATGAATATTAGNCCTAACTACTTTTAACTAATTGAAAATATAAAAAGATTACAAATAACGGATAATTGAAGAAACAAATATGTGATGAATATTAGGGTATAACAATTTCATCTATTGATCACCTTAATTCTTAATTCAAGATTCAAAACCTAATGTAGTGTTCGATCGAATTCTTCAATTGTATTCAATTTACCCTTCTCGAGTTCTCATTGAATTTATTTAACTAATTAAATTTCATATATCTATGCGAATCAATTTTAGTTAAACGAAACACTAATTCTAAGAATTCATATTATGACTGCAATAATAGTATAGGTATCTCTATACATTATATTAATTTGCTGAATTTTATTATATGGTCTAAACTTCAAACTCACCTCTCGATTCGTAAGATACTCACATAATCATTAAATTATTGATAAATTACCCGATCAATAATTTAATGATTATGTGAGTCTCTTAAATCAACACATAAATAAATAAATCACATAAATATTGAATAAAAAATAAAGGATCACAAGTCAAGTACATTGTTTTCTCTAATATAAAAATTAGTTATTGATAATGTAAAAATAAAAACACGTAAAAGTGGAATGATATCACCAAAAATTGATGAAACGTGAAATTTCTAGTGTCCGCCCTCTCTTTTCTTTCTTTCTTCTTCTCTTTGCACCATTTTCTTCTCTGTTTTCCGTTCTCTTTTCTTTCTCTCTCATCTCTCTCTTTTCTTCTTCTCTTTTCTTTCCCTCTTTTTTCTCTCTTTTTTCTTCTTTTCGCCGCCGTCTCTTTTCCTCTTCTATTTTCTTTTTTTCTCTTCTACCTGAGTCTATATATGTATGTGTGTGTGTTTAAATTGAGCCTCCAATTAAAATTTTCAATGCAAGTCTATTGAGACTCATTTAACTCGAATCAATTTAATGTAATATTTCTCTCCAAGGTTTCATCTTTGGATTTTGCCATTTTTCGCTACTTTTACATTCTTTTCTCCAATTCTTTATCAAACACAAATTTTTACCTACAAATACAATATAACATAAATTAGGCAAAATTTTATTCAAAAAATAATAAAATATCATGATTTAGAGCATCGAATAAATGTAGAAACTACACTTATTAGAAGTTGCCCCATATTTGCTCCCGTCGTCTCAGTCCGCCACATTAGGCTTTATATTGAGGAATGGAGGGATTAAGGACTAGGTTCGGGCGGTCCTCATCTAGGTACAGCCCCGCCATGCCACCGTCTTCATGGGGCTAGTCCATAAGCGGAAGAAAAGGTAGGCACTGTCCCGCCCTCCAATTCCAACCAAACGGAAACAAACAACATCGTTAATAGCTGTAATGGCTCCTCTCACCTTGTGCTCTACAACTGGACCCCGATTACTCACAGCCAAAAGAAAGACAATAATGATACTAAGAGCAGCGATAATAGTAACAACAATGCTGAATTTGATTTTTGGGTTTAATAGAAATGAATTTGAATTTTGGTTTCATAGTGACAGTGTTGAGCGTGGGTGGTGGTGAGTGGGAGTTGTAGTGGTGGTATGGGTCGAAGGTGGCAGGAGCAGTGGCAGTGATTTCTAGTAGATATCGTCGGAGAAGAAGAGGCCCCATCAGATTTTGATTTGGGGGTGTGGGGTGAGGTGGAGTGGAGTGTGGTTGTATATTTATTTTTAATTTTGGGGTTTTTTAATTTAATTTTTTTAACTTATTTAATATGAGAAAAATTCAAAGTATCACTTTGCCCATTTAACTCAGTCAAAATTAATCGAATTTTGACTTTGTTGGTCAACTAACGGTCAGATGGATGTTTTCCATCAATTTGGACTCCAACAACATATTTATGAAAGGTTATGGACCTTCCTAGCACAAAATGAAGATTAGCGTAAAGTTTGCAAAAACTGAAAAGGTTAGAGACCTCTGTTGCAATTTTCGCTAATGTATACGAATGCACACTAGAACATGTTCGGGTCTTTGTTAATTTTGATTTACCTATCACACCTCTAGTTGGTTGAATTGGGTTGGAGCCATTTGCCTTCAAGTTTCTTGATGAATTATTTAATGCCTTGCAGTTGCTGGATCGATTGCTCTCAAGGATTATTGGGAAGCTGGCACAATTGTCTTTTTGTTTACAATAGCAAAATGGCTAGAGTCAAGAGCAAGTCACAAGGTTTGCAAATTAATTGACATTGTATATATGACTTCAAAAAATTTCATTGGCAGATAAAAAAATGAAAAAGAAAAAGCTGACAATCAAAAACTATCATTTCAGTATCTGGAAATAGCCCATGTCATTGATCCTGTGCAACCAGTTTAATCCCTAATGACTATTTTTTTATAACAATGTAGGCAACTGCTGTCATGTCATCATTGGTCAATGTGGTACCTCAAAGAG